TTGTTTTAAAGAATTCAGTTCTGGATCCTTATCCAAGACATGTCTGGATTGATCAAGTTCAAACTTCACACACACATGGTACATCATGTCACAAATAGATATGTGCATTTGTTTCATGGTCCGCTTAACAATAGCAGAATGATGACCATTTTAAGGCCGAAAATGCATCAAAATCACGTATTTTCACAATTCCGGAACCGCATCTCAGTCATGCATGGATGGATTTTGTTCAGATTTAGTACAATGTGTTGTACATATGCAGGTGCATTTCGGTCATGATCTGCTTTGAATGTATATGTCACTCAAATATGAACGGAACGGGGACGTGTCATTGACAATGACTTGTTTAAACTTTAAAAATGGTGCATTTCACAACAAGTTAGTGCAGGTAAATTTCAAATTCAACATGCACACTATGCATGCAGGGAAAATATTCTATTTCAATCCCTGACGATAGATCGACTGGTCATTTGTGTTGGATATAGAACTTGGAAGACAGTGAAAGTAAGCTATGTATGAAGATCAAAATAAACATGTTTTTTGCATTAGTTTCTTTGATATATCTCTAATTCAAAAAAAGTGTGTTCTTAGGTGGTCAATGCTGTGTATGTATTAAATGAATTTAATGGCACCTCAGTATTGCTAATGTTTTAAGGCTATAATTGGATGTGATTCCATTTTAATCTAAAACGTTGCATTTTGTGAATATATCAAATTTCAGACAGTGAAAGTCCCTGTAAATGAATTTTGGGAATTAGAAACAGTTGTAAATGTAAGTACGACAAAATTGATTGATAACTAATTGTTTTGGCTAGGGTATCTATCCACTTTGAAAGGAAAGTTCACCAACCCTTTATTTGTTCAACCCTCTTACCTTTGTGACTAGTCTTCTTTTCTTCGTTTCTTCGATCTCCAGATTTTCGTTTGTCATCTATTTTTTTAATCTGATTTTCACTGTTTATTTCTGGTGTTTCTCCCTTTCCTGATTTCATCACAATATCAGGAGTGAACAAAATGGGTTCATTAGGCACTGAACACTGCCTCTTTATTTCATGTTTATGTGACTTATGAGAATCATGCTGATCTTGTTTAACATGTTTTTCATGTTGGCCAGGATGTTTCTCGTTTGTGTGGTCATTTGTTTTTTCATTTCCACTCTGTTTTTTCTCACTTTGGTGAGTCTGGTTTTCTGGTTTATGATATTTATCGCTTTCACTAAACCGCCTTTTCCTAACAGATTGTTTGGGTCCTGGTTCCTTCCCAGGATGAGAACCATGCCGGTGTTTTTTCACATCAGTATCTTTAAGTTTGATTTCTTGTTTGGCTTCCTTTACTTTTTGCCTCATCTCTTCTTGTATCTGCTTTAAAGTCCTCTCTTCTAACTCCTCTTCTGAGTCTGAGGATGATTGCTTCTTTTTCATTTTTGCCGCAGCTCTATCACTCTTTGAGTAAGTTTTCAGAGTTCGTCTCGGTGGTGCATTGCCACTTTCCCAACTAACTTGAGATTTTACAGCTGTAGCTGCAGGTCCTTCTTTACCCTTTATCTGTTTTGAGGGAGATTTTGTACTTTCTGGCCCTCTCTCTCTTTGCTGTAGAGTGCTCTTCCGCATCACTCGTCTCTCTACATCTGACCCAGAATCCAACTTAGTAGCGTGTGCCTCACTGGCTTTTCTCGGTGATCCTCTCCACTTTTTCACACTCTCAGGTTGGTGATCCTCCCCTGTCACAGCATCACCATAATTTACATAACTGGCCTCTTTCATCTCTAAGCTCCCGTCTTGCAGGATATTGTCATCCAGTAAACCAGAATTCAGACCATCTCCAGTACCTTCAAACATGCTTGGTAAACCAAATTTTAAAGAAATGTCTCCTCCTAAAAGTAAATCACTAGAATTCTCATTGATAGCCCCACTTAACATTGGATTTTCATCTCTCAACATGTTCTTAGCTGGGTCCATTTGTTTAGGTGGAGTGTTTAATACATCAATCTGTTTTAGAGGATCATCAGCGAGCAGCGGTTCCGTTGAAATATCTAAATATGGATGGCTTTCTTTACTCTGCAAGAGATAATGTAGTCAAATTATCATTCACTAGTTCATTTGTTGACAACACATTATTCAATATTTAATATCATGTAATCACAGGCATCCACTATTCATCTGTTTTGTTACGCATTTGTTCTACACACATAATACCTAATTCA